CTTCTTTCTCCGGATTATAATTCCTAAACCACAGCGCACAGGGGAGAGGACATGGAGTGGCACAGTGGGTAGTCCCATTACTTACAGCATGGAAGTCAAGGCCAGAGAACTTCCTAGGCGTCTCTTTATACTTTATAAGTTATTTTACACATCCTTTTACGTGTATGATGTATTTCATAATTTAAACAAATATTTAAGTTTCCTAGAGATCAGAATACTAGATTAGGGCAGATCAACCATTCCAAGGCCTTAGACCTGAGGAGGATACACTCTGTCAGCAAATGCAGTGTCCAACCAAACTCTCCTCATGAAAAGATGAATAAACCGGAAACAAAAATCAGCCCTGAAATTCGAAAAAATGCCATACCCAAGGTAAAATGGAACATTATCCTTTGGAACCAGGGAAAGTACGTATCTTTAAAAACTATAAGAAAAAATAAAGTTTCAGGAACATATGCTATGTCCTCCACGGCATGTAGTAAAAGTTGATCTTTGAAAGCAGAGCAGGGAGCCACTGGGGAGAATGTGTGCAGATGAAAAGAAAATATAGGAATTAAGGAAAATTACTTGAAATATAAAAACCACATTCTGAAGAGCAGCCAACACACACATGCGATTACACACTTAGCGATGGAAACTATAGGAAACCCAAGAGGGAACAGGAAAGTTGCAATCTATCCTGGAATTAGTCACTGGCCAGTTTCATTAGTGACAGAGCTGTGGCGGCCAACCCCAGCTGATTATCAGAATTATCTACATAGCATTTTAAATATACTTACTACAAGGCCCCACTCCACACCTGATAAATCAGGGTTTTTCATGGTTTTAGTCCTTGAACCTGCATGTTTAAAAAATCCCCTGGTGATCTGGACAATCTGCAAAGCTCAGGGAACACCAGGGTAGAGAATAAATCTAAAAAGTTTATCAAAAAAGTAAAAGAACAAAGAAATGAAAATGTGAGTGTGAAAATGATGAATTTAGAGGAATGAGGGCACATATCTAACCCATCAGTAAATCAATATTAGAAGTTCATTGTGGGGGGGGGTGCGAGGGGGGGCAGAGTTAAAACAGAAGGAAAAATCACTCATGATAGAAGAAAACTTTCTTGAGTTAAAAAGCTATAAATTATACAGTGTAAAGTTATACAGCTAAGAAGGGCTTGAGTTTTAAGCAAAAATTACTGAATAGAAGCTCCTACATAAAGCCTGGCTAAAAAAAAAAAATAAAATTTCAAGGTAAGAACTCTCTCTAGCATTCACCTCAAGAAGAACCTAATGGCTGCCCAGCAAGGCTTCGGTTTTTCTAAGCCATCCACTCCCCTACTCTCCTAGACAACCATTTCATACCAATTCCTCACTCAGCCACGATTTTGCTTCCTATTTCCAGCAGAAGAGAACGTCCACAAGCCTCGCCCACTGCACCTGCCCACCTGCCTACATCTGTGCCCAAGGGCTTCCCTTACCTTCCTGCCTCTTACTGTGGATGAACCGTCTATGCTCCCATAAGGCAATGCCTGGATCCCACTTCCTCCAGGTCACCGCTCCTGCAGTTCTCACTCTTACATCGTCCATTTCCATTTCCTACTGAATTGCTCTTTCCCATCAGTCCACAAACATGCTATTAATGTCTCCCTCCCTGACCCCTCTAGCTACCACCACATCTCTCTCCCTTTTACAGATAAACTCCTCCAAAAATGATGTCTATACTTGCTGTAATCCAGTCACTCCGGTTTTCTGCACTGTGATGGATCTAGTATTAAATTGGACTCTTTGTAAAAAATACAAGAAAAGACATTCTATGTCAGAGACATAATGGATTACTCTGAAAAATATAAAAATCAGTTATATGTCAAAACATTGTCATTTGCCTAACTGTATATCATCATTTTAAAAGGGAAAGAGCTTTGCATTTATGGTTGCATATAATTTAACAAATACTTTAATAAAGTAGAAAATAAAATTACCTTAATGGACCAAAATTGAGATGAATAAACGATTTAATATTAGATTTTTAGAAAATTGAGAGGACATACTGTAAATTCTCCCCATCTGTCTATGACCTCTTCCTCATCCCTCCTTCATACCAGTTTGTTTCAATTTAGCAACAATAAACCTCTTACTGGGCCCCACTAGTGCCTCCAATATGCAGTCTGAATAATACATCTGAGACCTCAGCATTCTGGGATTTAAGCTATAGCTTAACTCTGGTTTTAAAAAGAATGCCAACGCCCCATTCATTTTATTGTTTCACCCATTGTTTGGAAACAGAGTGGGGGAAAAAGCATTAGCTATTTCCAAATGTCATCAAATGTGGGTGGCTCTCCATGTTTAGAGCTGTCCGTCCAGGGCACATCACAGGGCTTTAACTCGGCGGGATGTGTATACACGGGCATCGTTGCCAGCCATGAGTGCAAACTCTTTACCAATACAAGCACAAATTTGACCAGCACATCCTTTAGCAGTAAACGTTTTGAAAGATTACAATTAACATTGTCCAAAGACAAAATGTGGGTGTTTTAAATGGTATTTGTATGATTAAATTTGTAAACATCACTTTGAGATATGACAGAGAGATGATTTTAATGCAAATCATGTCTTTCCAACCCATAACGAGCGTTGTTTTTTAAGTGCTGGCTGTCCCTAAGTAGCTCACAACCTGACTAGGAAACAAGACATTCACAATCACAGATCTAGAGTAAAATTCCCAGGTAATAAACAAATGATGTCATGGTACTGTGGCCTGTGTAGCGTTAGTCCTAACATTCAGGCCTGATACCGTGTGCTGCCTTACATCATGCAGGGCCTCAGACGCCCATTCTCTTCCCTACTCACTCCCACGGAGAAGATCCCCTAACCACCCCCCTTACCGGGGACCAGATGCACCTCCTGCCCATCCCTAAATAGCGAGGTTCAGTTCCTCGCCAGCCTGCAAAATTATTTCACAAGCCAATCCCATCCTCCATTGGAAACCAGAGGTGACCTCATCCTCCTACCACTACGAAGCCTGCCTCCCACAGCCTCTGTTGTTCGTTCTGTTCTCATGTGGCCCCGCGCAGCATGGTGTCCTACACCCCTTGGCTGTGGTATATGTCGCTAAAAACTGCTGCCAGTGTTGGGTGTCATGTGTTCTGCCACCCCCAAAATCCTAGGGCAGGAACCTCTTCCTCATCAGTGGGGTGAATAGGAGGTGGTTAGAATCGGCTATATCTCTTAATACTATAAAAGGCCCCAATTTAGAAAAAGATCCTTCTGGTGGCTGGCTATACAGGTTTAGTGAAGTAGTTTGGTCTAGATGGAGAACGGTGTGAAGGGTTTGGTTTTACATGTGGCTTTGGTTGTATTCTGGGATTCTCTCTGAAGGAGCATACAGACAAGAAATGATAGCTAAGTAGCAACGAAGTACTGATTTCATTAACGGAACAAGGCTCTAGCGACAATGGAGAACTTGAGAAAAAGCTAGATTACAGAAATTAAGTTAAGGTAGTAGGCCAAGGTGAGCCTTCTTACTTCCTATGCACCATCCCTAAGATTCTATACCCTCTTTCCAAATAGCTGTATGGTCATGAATGACAGGTCCATCGGCTGCATCCAGCTGCAGGTAGAACAAGAGGGTGGGGATGGCCAGGCCAGCAGAGCCAGAGAGGACAAGGGTGTGACATCCCTGAGCACTGACCTTGAATACAATGAGCCCACCCTCTAGTGCAGCGGTTCTCAACCTGTGGGTCGCGACCCCTCTGGGGGTCGAACGACCCTTTCACAGGGGTCGCCTAAGACCATCGGAAAACACATATATAATTACATAGTGTTTTATGATTAATCACTATGCTTTATGTTCAATTTGTAACAATGAAATTGGGGGTCACCACAACATGAGGAACTGTATTAAAGGGTCGTGGCATTAGGAAGGTTGAGAACCACTGCTCTAGTGAAATGTCCCAGTCAATGTCCATTTCTGACAGTCTGCTGAGGAGTTTGTTCTCCAGAGCAGTGCAAGTGGGTGGAGAGAGACATACCAGAAATGCAGCGACAATTTCCTCCTAACCCAAGAGCTGAGGCTAAAATAAGTTCTTCTCCCCAAATAGGAGGGAAAGCAGTTCACCTAAGTATAACTATCTCCATGAGCCGAGTAAAACAGAAGTGAGGATGGACAGACTGTTTGGACCAGAGCAGCCAAGCTGTGGGGCTGTAAGGTCAGTGGGGCCAGTGTCAAGACTAAGATTTATGCCCTTTGAGAGTGTGAAGTCCAAAGCCAGACAGGGCTGAGAAACTACCAGAGAAAAAATATGCAGCTGATGAAACACATGAAGTCTTTCCTGCCTAAACAGTAAGGTCTCAGGACACTCCAGTGAGTCCATCTCCCCATAACTCTCAGTGAGCAGTTCCAGAAGCAGGGGAAAGCAGTGGCTGGCAGGGGAAGAGCAGGGACTGTACAAAAACGGATGGGATGCTTCTGCCATTCATTCAGGAGACAGCTACTGAGAGTCAGCCAGACGCCCCCACTGTGCCTGGGGCTCGGCACACAGACGCATATGAGACCACCTCAACCTTTAAGACACTTACATTCTTAATGACGCTAATACATAGCAAGTGGCTGAGTACCTACCATGTGCCAGGGAGTCTTTTAGCTTCACAAAAGCACTCTGACGAAAGCGGTACAGCAATTATTAGCATTTACAGATGAGGAAACTAAGGTTCAGAACGATAAAAACTTGCTCAAAGCCATGTTATTAAGAAGCGGTTTCAACTCCAGGGCACAGTTTGGTTATATCCCTTCATATATGAATGAGAAGCAAAGAGAATATTTTAAAAAAGGAAGCAAAATTTTAGTTCTATTTATACAGTATTCAGTTCAGAAAGAAGACTATCCTGGATTTAAGTAAAAAAAGTATAAACATTTTTTCTTAGAGAAGGTAAAAATAAAAAGTTTAAAGAGTAGTAGCCATCAGAAAAAAAATCACAAGTCTCGTATTACTATATATGAATAGAAAATGATAGAAAGAAAATAATAAGTTTAGGATATAACCCCATGAAGTATGCTCAAGATAAAATTATATGGTTTCCATATATTTTATTTTATATAACCGGAAGCAATCATTAGGGAAATAACATACTTAGAATTACTATATTTTCCCATTAGTGAGGTTTTCTGTTCTCATCCATCAGACCACATTCCAGTTAAAGAAAGAGTCTGAAGGCAATTATTTGATCCTATTGTCCACACTATTCAGGCCCATGTGCAGAGAGGGAAACGGGAATTGGGAGCAGATCACCTTGTGGATGAGCTTCTCGGCCTGACATTCTCACAGAGATGAACTCTGGCTTAAGATAAGGATTCACAGAAGGCTCAACCAACAAACAGAACCTAAAATATAAACAAAAAGCAAAATGAAAGGTTTTGCAGAAGAGGCTGATGCAAAATATATGCTGATGCAAATTGCATTTTACAGGAGTTGCCTTGTTCTATGGAACTACCCCAGGAAGGTGATGTTAGTTCACTAGCAAGGCCCAACTGATGCATTTAAGGAAGGGCAGTTTAACAAAGCTCTTTCGTGTGAAACTGCTCCTTTCAAAAGCACGGAGACTCAGAGAGGTCAGACTTGCCCAATCTAGGTTTCCAACACCGGAGCCCGGGTTAGTATTCATTGTGGTAACTCATTACCTGCAACAACAATGGCTCACAAGGCTCCCCCAGTGCCATGAGTTTGACTAGCCATGATCCAGATAAAGTAAGGACTGTAGCCTTTCCCGTATCTATTCTCTACATGGCAAAAAAATCGCAGACATGCCAGATTTCCTCCTAATGTTGCCTATCTTCTCTTAAAACATGGGAAGATCCTATAAGATCTCTTTTCCTGAATCTTACAATGCATTATTAAAGCCTCAGAAGTTGGTAAAGAAAGAGAAAACTATGGCTAAGTTCTTTGCTTGTGTTTTTCAGTTTCCTATATATGCACATGTTAACTTTAAAAAAATAAATGTTACTTTAAAAGCCAAAAAAAAAAAAAAAGAAAGAAAGAAAGAGAAAACTGCAATCAGGTAAGTAGTTTGCTCCCAGACTTATAAGAGGATAAAAAACATGGCTAAGTTTCCAAACTCTTGAAAAGCTTATAAAAACTGAAATAATTAACTATAACTTGAAGCACATAATACCATTATAATCACATTAGGGGGGAAAGATAGATTGGAATAATAGTTTAAAAGTGATGACTTGTAAAATGTTTATTTGCGATACCATTAGGTATTTGAGGTGAACTAAACTAGCCCTTACTAATGAAAAGTATTGCACTTTTCTATTTAAAACTTCAACTGTGATTTCCTTTTAGGTATATATATATCCTTTCAGTCAAAACCTTCCTTTTTCTTTAAATGGAAGCTCAAGTTATCTCCTAACTCTTCACTTTTGTTACAGAAAGAAAGCATTATTAAATTTATCACAGATCCACCCATTCATTCATATAAAAAAAATTACCATTGTCTATCAGTTCATTAGCTTTGTCTTAAATTGTGGCACTATGTAAGGTCATGAGTCTAAGTGATTCTGTGTGCTTATTCTTGATTGCTGTTGTTTCTGTTTTACCAACCATAGAACCTAAACGCCAGCTCTAATTACTGCACACTGGCCAAAATGCATTGTGTATTGTGATGTTCCACCCCCCTACCCCACCGTCACTGAACAGTTATCATGTTCTCCCCCATCACAGCCTTCCTGTCTTGAAAAGCTTTCATTCGCCATGGACTCATAACTTGGGCCAATTTTTGTCTTTCTTGTTATTTGCACCCACTTTCATACCATAGTGTTCCTAATCTTTCCAGTCTAGTTGACATTAGGAAGACCTCATTTAGAATTTTACACTCAATTTTTATTGCCACGATTTAAAGTAAGAGGTGGAGAAACTAGATGTAGAGGCAATGAGGTCTAAGAAACAGAGAAGTGGACCCAAAAACAAGTCCTAGCTGCATCACACTCCAGCTGGATGCTCCGACAGTGGGTAAGGGTGGGAGAGGGTGGTAGGAAATAATACTCACGGAGTGCCTACTTTGTGCCAGGTGCTTTACACATGTATTATTTCATATAACAACCCTACAAAATAAGTTCCTTTATCCCTACTCTTTTGGGGTCTTATTCGTTTATTTTTGTAAAGCTTAACAAGAGACATATTCAAAATCTAAAGCTCAAAGAATTTAAATCACGTACCCAGAGCCTCAGAGTTTTAATAACAGAGCTAGGATTTAAACTAAGGTCTAACTCACAAAGTCAATAAATATTAGTTCTTCTGCCCTAGGGAAAGAACAGCCATGGCAATTTGTACCATCAAAAGGGATCAAAGGTAGATTTTATGGGCAAACGTTGAAGAACTGAATTGCTTAGCTTAAAATGAAGTTTTAATTACCATTTTTTAAATGTGGAGATTCTCTGAGGAATTTGTTGACACAATTATTATCTGTGTCCATAAGAAAACACTTAAAAATTAAAAGTTGTGTGCGCCCTGACTGGTTTGGCTCAGTGGATAGAGTGTCAGCCTGCGGACTGAAGGGTCCCAGGTTCGATTCCGGTCAAGGGCATGTACCTTGGTTGCGGGCACATCCCCAGTAGGGGGCGTGCAGGAGGCGGCTGTTCGTTGTTCCTCTCTCATCAATGTTTCTAACTCTCTATCCCTCTCCCTTCCTCTCTGTGAAAAATCAATAAAATATATTTTTTTAAAAATTAAAAGTTGTGTGTATTTTGTAGGATATAAGGAAGAATTTTTCTAGGTCAATCTCATTAATAGGGCGTATTATCTGCAGGGTACTTTTCTAGGTGCAAAGGATCTCAAATGAATAAACTAAAATCTCATGGCCCAGTGAAAATAGGCCAGAGTAGACAAGATGCTCAATACATGTTGTATTTCTCAATAATTAGATTATAAGATAGCCTGTAAGATGATCACATAGACCTGGAATTCTTTTTTTTAATAATAATATATTTTTATTGATTTCAGAGAGGAAAGTAGAGGGAGAGAGAGATAGAAACATCAGTGATGAGAGAGAATCATTGATTGGCTGCCTCCTGCACTCCCCCTACTGGGGAACGAGCCCACAACTCAGGCATGTGCCCTTGTCCGGAATCAAATCTAGGATACTTCAGTCCGCAGGCCAACGCTCTATCCACTGAGCCAAACCAGCTAGGGCAAGACCTGGAATTCTTTAAATGAACAAGAAAAATAGCCTTTAGGTTGCTACAAGACACACACACACACACCATCAAAACTAGACAGCTTAAACTGGTGATTCCGAACCTTTTGAGAATGGTGACACTCCAACAATCTTTCATTTTGCAATGTTCCTTCCTCAAGAAGCTATATGCCTGTGGCTATTCATTCCACCGATCTTTACTACATGATCACTCTGCTAGAACTCTCCAAATTCATAAAGTATATACAGGCTTCTTCTTTCAATCAGGTGAATAGCAAAACTAGAGATTACTAACAATGATTTTGGAGTAACTCAAGCTGACTGTATTTATGTAAGTTATCTCAAAAGATTTCATAAAATTCAATTTTTATTTATTTATACAGCTATATGAACAAATGCAAATATACCCAGGCACATGTCCAGCATCACGTATATCAGAAGTGATCTATATGATTTATACTAGAGATGTTTACCTTTCAGGAGATGCAACACCTCATGATTATTTGTTCTGTAATGTCTCTCTCTCTCTTAAAAATCACTCAGCTTCGAACTTATACCAGAAGAAAGTTCAGGGTCCCTTTTATACCTGTAATTCATTTGAACCTACCCATCTTCAAAGATAGGCAAATCTAATGCTAACGTCTGTCATTCCCATTGCCCCCTAATGTGTATTTGAGTTTGATAAAATTCTTATAACCTAAGGTCATGAAATAAAAACAATGTAATGTATGCACTTGAACTTTCTACTGTACTAATTATAATAGGAAGAATACTAACAGCCAACTCTTAATGAGTGCTTACCATGTGCAAGATAAGTCTTCTGCATGTATGTAATCCTTATAACACATGTGTATCAGGCAAATAAACTATCTTTAAAAAAAGAAATTAAAGATAGCTTTGGTTTATGCTGTATCTTTGAGGTCCTTACCTGTATCACAAGTACATCACTGAAGAAATGACTGAGAGGAAGCTGGGGCCACCTGGGCCTCAGCTTTCCTACCAGGTCACACAGACGTACCACTCGTTATTTTTGGCATTTTCCTACGGTTCAATTCCTACCAGGTCACACAGACGTACCACTCGTTATTTTGGCATTTTCCTACGGTTCAAAAAAAAGTGGTGACAATTTTCTGCATCTATAACATTTTGGATGAGCCATTTCCATCCTATTTTGTTTCCTCACATATGGTGTTCTAGCTCAAATAGCATTGGTATTTTTAACTTGCACAGTATCAGTAAACTACTTTGAATTACTCTTGGCTGACAAGTATCCAAATTACCTAACACAAATGAGAAAACTGCATGTGTTATGTAGGCTAGTGTGTTCACTGCCTTTCAGCTATAAATTTTCCAATAGAATCAATATATTTTACAGATGCCCTGACCGGTTTGGCTCAGTGGATAGAGCGTCAGCCTGCGGACTGAAGGGTCCCAGGTTCGATTCCGGTCAAGGGCATATACTGTGGTTGCGGGCACAGCCCCAGTAGGGGGCGTGCAGGAGGCGGCTGATGGATGTTTCTCTCTCATCAATGTTTCTAACTCTCTATCCCTCTCCCTTCCTCTCTGTAAAAAATTAATAAAATATATTTAAAAAGTAT